AGGTACAGAAATTTAATAATTAAGTGTAAAATAACACTGCATAGTGTTCACTGTATGAATTAAATTTAGATTAATCTTTGTTATAGCCGTTTTGTTAAGATTAGTGACATATTCAGCAGCACGTATATATAGGCTGCTTGTGCGCGCGCTTCAGGTGTCTGTCAGACAGCAAGACGAGACGGCAAAGAGTTGTTTTCTGCAACTTATTGCACTTAACTCTTTTTAACGCCAAGCAAATCTCTGCTATATGCGTCGAACTAAAACTTTGACCTTTTGCAACGTTTTGATTTAAGTAGCCTATTATTAAAATTATAATGATATCGCACGCCGTTGCGATATGCATATTGCGATATTTACATTTGCGATATTTCGATAATTTCGATATATCGCGCAGCCCTAAGCAGAGCATAACGTCACTGAAGGTAGCATCATTTTAGCAGCGTTGCCCAGTACAGCTGTACTAGCCTACACCATGTTACAGAACAGTAGCGCTACTGCAAACAGGAACAAGTATACTGCATAGAAATTTCCTGTCAGCGCGTTATTTGAGCGGCCGTTTTTCTCTTTCGGTCGAAAACCGAAAATGCCATTTTTGGACGATAATTTTCGGCTGCCGAAAATTCGGCGCATCCCTAATATATAACCATGTCTTTCATGTCATTTCCAAAATCTGACTAGTGAACATTACATATTTAATAATAATAATAATTTAATAATTAAAATAAACTTATAATAACTTAAAATAATTTAAATAATTAAATATGTATTTAAAATTACATTTATTTAATTGAAAAATATATATTATAGTTAATCATTTTTAGTAAAATTTATCTTCAATTTTTATTTTCATATTTTTCAGTAAATATTTAGTGAATAAGTATTAGCTTTTTTTAATTTCAGTAAATGTATGCACATCTCATTTCCATCATTAAATATAATATATATATAATGGATAAAATGTTATGACAGAAAATGAGATATCTAATTTTTATATATAATAATAAGTACATAAATAAAAATGTTTTATTAATTCATTAAATTCTAAATAATTTAGAAATGTTTAGTTTAGTCACTTTATTGTCCACAAGTGGAAATTTGTCTTTGGCTTCACCACACAAATACATTCAACATCATCACACAAATCACATAAAAGACAACAAGTAACACAATCACCCCTACTCTCACACACACTCAATGTGTAGTACGAAGTCATATAACCATGTTTCTATGTACTTGTCATTTTCAAGCTCTGACTTGTGAACATATTACATTAATATTATAATACATTTAATACATTAAATACATTAAAACACTTAATTATGTGTTTAAAATTATACTCACTTTATTATTATAAAATTAATCAAATTACAATTATAAACATTTTCCATTTTAATTTCTTTCAATTATATATTCAATCTTCATTTTTAGATTTTTCTGTAAATATTTTGTGAATAAAGAAAACAGGTGTTCATTTAATTTCAGTAATGTTATTTACCTCATTTTCTCATTAAATTACATAATATATTAACCAAGAACATGAGATATCTAATTTATATATAATAAAAGAAAATTATATAAATATTAGCTTAAAAATACATTTTACATATACATATATATAAGCCATATTGTTGACATATTGGTAATTATGGCATTTTGGCAGAAACCGACAGTTACCACGGTCAATTTGCTGTGTGTGTATCTTGGGAAGGTTGATGGGAGGAGAGATGACTTACAGGAATGGACCGGCTGAGGTATCGTGCCGAGAGCCCGCTCAGCCCCGTCGGGGGGCTTCTGTGGTGCCCCTGTTCACTGGCCCCCAGCCTTCCATTGCTGGAAGGTCCACTTGGGCTGGTTTTGTTGAGGTTGTAGGTCAGGCTTTTTGCCCCGCTGCTCGGGCTTACCCCGTTGCTGTTTGGGGTGCTGATGCTGTTATACTGATTGTTGTTGACCTCATAGTGGTAACTGTGGGTGGCGATCGGGCTGCTGTAACCCATGCGGACAGGGTGGGAAGTGAATGAAGAAGGGGAAGGCGGTTTCCCAGAGCTGTTGGCTTCACCATTTGGTTCGTACAGGTTACCCAGAGAGCTGGCTAACCTGGTGCTGGTGGATGGGAGGCAGGGAAACACACATGAAGGGTGGAGGACGGGGAGGACACACACTCGTACCCATATCTACACTCCAGAACACGGAGATCATGGAAAACTGTCTGATAATGGGACAAGGAACTGCATGCATTTTGGACTACACTGTATTTTCTGCTGTTTAAGACATCAAACTCAGCCTGGAGTAGGACTGGGTGACTTATTATATACTGACAATCTTTCTAATCGTAAATATTATTTTTAATGCAATATTGATTCAGCAAAGTACCCATGTCTCTTTAAATTTAAGTTTGATTCAATGATTTGTTGCTGTCAAGTCAATCATTAAATTATGCAATTATTAAAACACGCAATTTAAATTAAAATGTATTCTTTAATTTTATTTCTTGGGTCATATAATATTGTGTAATATTGTAATAAAGTTTTTTCTAGGTTATGTGAACGTTTGAGAAAACATTAGGGGAGCGTTCCAATCTATCATTTTGCAAACGTTACAGGAATGTTACTTTTGAATGTTCTCTGAACCATCTGAAACAACTGGTTAGTATTTTTAAATATTAGACAATCATCTAACTCAATTTCAGGAAAAAATTATGCATAAATTGTGTTTTTGTGCTAATGTTTCGAGAACCTTATTGAAGACCAGATAACTTTGAGCGAACAATGTATTAACATTACTGGAGAATGTAGAATGTGCCAGAACATGATTTGGCATCAAATATTACTCTGCACGAGTACACAAAACAAATATTTTGTATATATAAAATATTTAAATGTTTTTAAAATTACAAACGTTATACAAACCTTAGAGAAAACATTCATGGAAAGTTCCATTTTATCCTGTTGCAAATGCTACAGGAACATTACTTTTGAATGTTTTCTGAACAATCTGAAACAAGTAGACTAATGAGTAATTAGACAATCTGGAACATTTCATTAAAAAATGTATAAATGACATTTTTGTGCTAATGTTTTGAGAATGCTATAAACCAGATAACCAGAATTTTGCATATAAAATTGTATTTCTCTATTTCACCCATGCATTTTTTTTTCATATATTAAAATGTTTACGTAAAATAATGTGAGTATATTGCTGTTTATTAGCAGGTATTATTGTATTTGATCATATTAAAGAAAATTATGC